TTATTATTATTATTATTATTATTATATTATTATAATAATAATAATATAATTTTATAATTATTATTATAATAATAATAATAATCTCCACAGCGCTTACGACCTTTTGGACACGGAGTTGCTGAGACAATTACTGCTAACTTCGAGTTTCTTTACTAACTAAAACTTTAACTAAAACTAAAACTAATACTAAAATTTACAGTCATCACGCCAATTCACAAAAAAGGTGACAAAAAGGATATAAGTAACTATCGTCCAATTGCTCTAATACCAGTACTTAGCAAAGTCTTTGAAAAAGCGATGCACATTAGACTTACTGCCTTTTTTTGAAAAATACAGTATACTAAATGCTGACCAACACGGCTTTCAGAAAGGTAGATCGACAACTACTGCTGCTTTTAAGTTAATTAATAGTATTACCGAAAATTTAAATAATAGCACACTCACAACGGAAATTTTCTTTGACATGACCAAAGCGTTTGATTTTGTGTCCCATAATATACTATTAGACAAATGTGATTTTTACGGCATACGAGGTACAGCTCTCGCATGGTTGAACAGTTATATCAAGGATAGACAGCAATGTGTAGAGGTGACAAGGCTAACTCAGAAACGGGATACAAATAAATTTAGGTCAAAACCGCGGCAAATTAACATGGGTGTCCCTCAAGGAAGTGTCCTGGGCCCATTTCTATTCTTGATCTATATTAATGATCTTCCTTCGATAACAGAGCATAAATGCATACTGTATGCAGACGACCTTTCCGTACTGGTTCCCAATGTTGACAGAGAACTTCATAATCTGGAGTTAAACAAAACTGTTGCTGAGGTAATTGATTGGTTACGATTGAACAATTTAAACGTTAATCTAAGCAAAACTAAGGCAGTTAATTTCTGCAATGTAAACTCAAGGAGTATAGACTTGAACATTGCATACAATAACCAAAAAATCAACAGTAGTGATGAGATAGAGTTTCTTGGTATCATTGTAGACAGTAGATGTTCCTGGACTTCACACATTGACCAAGTATGTACTAAAATTGACCGTTTTTCGTATGCTCTTTGGCGTCTATCTAAAACTGTTAGCCAAACTGTTGCTCTTCAGGCTTATCATGGATATGTTGTTTCAGTGATTGCTTACGGTATTTTGATCTGGGGCAATTCATGTAACATTGACAGAGTGCTTATATCTCAAAAGCGCAGCATCAGATCGATTTGCAACATTTCACTTGTAACTTCGTGCAGACCACTTTTTAAGAAATTAAATTTATTAACAGTGCCTAGTATTTATATTTTGAGTGCCTGTACCTTCGTCAAGCAAAATTATTCACTATTCAAACGACATGAACCTTTATATAACACGAGGTTTCCGGACAGACTTACTGTACCGGTCAACATAAAAAGAGAAGTGTATCGTCGTAACTGATTACCTATGTGTGTCAAAATATATAATTCGCTACCGATTGATTTAAAAAATACGCCAAATACAATGTTCCGAAATAGGTTATCCAAATGGTTGTCTAACTGTTGTTTTTACTCAATTGAAGAATTTTTTGACTACAAAAATAATTAGGTATTTGTTTAAATTTGACATTATTGAGACTTATTATTTTAAATGTATAAGATATTTTAATAATTATGATAGATATACTCATTTTAAGGTAAATTTGCATGCTATTACTACACTTTTTTCTATATGGGCTCAAGTGCTATAAATTTGGTTTCTAAAAATGAAGTAAATTCCTCCAATTCGGGGAGATCATGGGGCGCCTTCCGCGACTCTTTGTATTCACTTCTCGTTACAGGATCCAATTTCTTCAGCAAGAGATGAACAATAAGGGGATCCCATAAAGCAGTATCCACGCCCAAATTGTGGATAGCATGGATACACTCCACGGTAGTGTCATGCAGGCGCTTAAGCTCAGATGATGATTGTTTGTCGACGTTGCGTTGGTTAAGAAATACTTGTATGTGTTTCGTAAATAGTAATTGAATATTATTATAGCGATGGTATAATAATTCCCAGGCTGTTACATAATTATCTGCCGATACATTTAAATGCTGAATGAGACGTTGTGCTTCGCCTCGCAACTTTCCCTTCAAATGCTGCATTTTCTGTGCGTTTGTCAAGGAAGGGTTGTCATGTACGCTGCTTTTGTACAGATCCAGGAACGTAGGCCCTTGTGTATAATCCCCATGGAACGGTGGAACTTCTAATTTTGGCGTAGATTCGAATTGAATCACGGTTGATAAAATTTTCTTATTTAAAAGCCGTTTCATGTCCCTGTAATTCTTCTCAAAAGCAGAATATTCCTCTTTATACTTCTTATCTCCGTCGCTTGATACGCTGTCAATTTTTAAATGCAATTTGTCAATATTCTCCCACCGTGATTGCAAACTTTTTAATTCATCCTCCAGTTCCCATTTTTCTGTTATTTTGTCGATGTCAATATTATTTATTTGGCGTAGTAATGCACGAAAATTGGACTTCTGCTCACTCTTCAACTCGTCTGCTGCTAGCTTCACACCTGCCCTTCCATGTTGGGAAAGTTGTTCATAAGCAGGTTGCGTAATGTGTCATAAAGATTTTTTGTGTCATTGTAGATATTCTTTACATAGTAATCACGTGTTTTTTCATATTCAGAGCAAGAAAGTTGAGCATTTTTGCTGTCAAATTCTGCCCATAAACTGTCAAGGGCGATAACCCTTTTTTGTAGGTAATCTTCCGTCTTTCTCGAGGACGAATCCTTATTAAAATTCCTGTGAATCGTCCTGATAGATTCTATGATCTCCATTTGATGAGCAAGAAGTTCTTCCATTGTTGCACTGGGTGTATACTGTCAACGATAATGTCAATAAAACGCAGATTAAACCGTTGTTGTTACGGCGATGTCAATTTTCACTGTAATATGTCAATAAAATGCAGATTAAATCTTGTAAATGTACTGCCACTTATGTCATGACGATATGCAATGAACGTCTGTTCGTTCTTACCGCTGCTGTTACGGTGATGTCAATTTACACTGCAACATATTTACGCACTCACAAATGTCACTGTTTTGTATAAAATGTCACTATTTCATATAAATGTCACTATCAGTTGTTGAATTTATGTCAAAATTGTCAAGAATCCATATGCGATTTCTTTAGCGATTTTGCACTCTTCCCACGATCGTTGACCGCTCGTCTCAACTTAACTGGTGAGACCCGCTTCTGGGAGGTCAGTTAAGCCGATGCGCTAATCGTACTCTAAGATACAAACTCACCAAAGAATTAAAACTCGAAGGACGAACATATGGATCCGGCTCGAAGGACCAACATGTACGAGCTGCTTGTCTCGTACAGTAATATGTCAGAATACGTCAGGTGATATCAGCTAGATGATGCAGGGAGATGTCAAAGATGCTGTAGAAATAATACTCGACCGATACCACGGAGTAACTTTGTTGTACTCACAAATTATAATTTATACGTTTTGCACGTGCACAATGTAGGGTGCGACGTTGCATATTGTCAGTTGCACAATAATGTACGTTGACCCGTACAATAGTCGTTTATATTTATGAAGTACCTTTCGCTACGCAAGCCTAAGCTACGTTCCTATGCTATAGTACTATAAAATAAGCAATACTTCAGGTAGGTCAACAATCAATCATACTTAAAATTAAACGTATTTATAAGAACGTTACCTAATCTATGGTCGAACTGAATCAATTGCGTTATGTTCTTGCATCTATTCTAAAAATATATTCATAACTAAGCATAAACTAAAACGCAAAAACTTACTAGCAGAGTTCATGAACGGCTCTTCGTCGTTACTGGGGCAGCTTTCGCCATCCTTCCTTACCTGTCGCATCTGTCGTGAGTGAGCAGCGCGTGAAGGCCCCATTGCAGCATACATTTCGAACACTAAGCAGGGTGCGCCGTGACTGTGGTATCGACGGGTGGCACGTGTAACAGCAGCGTCGAGCGCCCTAATAATTTACCGAATGTGCAGGTTGAGAATAATGGCACAACGTTTGCTGCCTTAGTGCTTAAGAAAGGTGATTGGAAAGATTCAGTGCACGACGAGCAATGTACGCTTATACAAAAAAAGCTTTTAAAAAACAAATTCATTGGCGAATCAGGCAAAGCTATGATACAGCCGGAATGTAATTTTAAAGCAGCTGACATAAAGGTACCTCTGTTTATTTACAAGGCTGATAAGGAAGTTACGGCGTTTGATATTATGCAATATTTAGAAAAATAAAGACAGATGACTGTCGATGTTGAAGCAGAGAATAGTAGGAAAGATAAGAACTATGTGGCCACAAGATTTTCGTGCCGAGACGTAAATTACTGGTTTTCCTGGAAAGTAACTTGAGGCCTATAAATTTTGAGAAAAACGGAGGGTTAAACAAGGGTTGCCTATTGGAAATTAAAGTATCTGCTGTTGTATTTATTTGTGTTTGTTTTTGATAGATAAATTAAACATGCGTCAAATTGTAAATAAATTCGATTCAGTATGTAGGTTACTAAGTTTTAACTGTAAGTCAGTAATGCGTTACTCGGTACGATAGATACGGACTTAGGTTTCACGGGCGTAGCTGCTATTGACACAACTGCACGTTTATATAGGGGAAGACCTTGAGGTGGAGTGGCGTTGCTCTGGCGGAAAAGTGCGTTTGAAGAAGTCAACTTAGTGAACTGTGATAGTAAGAATTTTACAGCTATTGTAACTAGAACGGGTAACCGAACTGTGCTCTTTTTTTCCGTGCACATGCCTACAAACTGTGTTTATATTTTACCTGACGTTACTCAGTGTCTTAGTATAATAAGTGCAGTAATTGGAAATATTGATGTTGAGTCTGTATTTGTTCTGGGTGATTTCAATGCGCATCCGGGTTACTTGTTTTGGAAGAAGATGGTTGATTTTGTAGTTTTCAAAAGTGGATTTATGCGGACGTGGAGAAGTTGCAGAGCGTTATGCCGAGCTCTTACACGTTCGTTATGTTCACGGCTGCGCAAGGTGCTGCGTGGTAATCGGTTGAATGTGTGCGTATAAAGTATGGAACGCACTGGTCCGATCATTTCCCCCTCGAAGTTACATGTAACTTTAAAGTACTCAGGACAAAACTACAGTGTTCCCGTGCAACCGTAAGCAATAAACTCATTTGGGTTGAGCGCGACACTACACAATCTGAGGAGTATAGGAATATTTTGTGAAAATCTTTTATAGATGTTAATATTACAAAACGGCCTGCTGGATGCGCAGTTAGACTGGATGCGCAGGTACAATGAAGTAGAGCATAGAGTTGTAATTGATAAGTTACATGCTACTGTACTTCGTATTTTACAGGGTGCGGCTGAGGAGTGTTACCATAGGACAGTGTTGGGCAAAATTTTATTGTTCAGGCAATTAAAGATTGACAATTAATTAGTTGTCAATCGTGACAACACCAATTAACAAGTAATTAATTGTCAATCGCGACAACAGCAATTAACAATTAATTAATTGTTAATTACTGTTGTTGTAATTAACGATTAACGAACTGTTAATCGTGTACATCTACAATTAACAATTAATCCATTTTCAATCTTTACAGTGTTTTTCATTAACAATTATTAATTAAAACTGATAAATATGATAAATTTAAAGGGCAGATTTTTGTATGCATATTTATTTCCATATTTTTGTACTGAATAAATATGTATACACTGTATGTAGCAATTAAAACACTAGATAATATTCATCATCAAAAATTGTAATTAAACAGGTACGGAAACGTAATTACGGATTGATTATTCCACTAAATAGTTGAGATTGCATTTTAACACAAGTTCCTATGAGTGCCTGTGAGTGCCTTTGAGTACATGCGTGTGCCCGCGAGTGGAAGGAATCGGGTAAATTGAATCCGAGGATGAGTCGTCCGCGTGTCTGATAGTAAGGATACAATCGCAAACCCTTTCATGGAGCACTTCAAAGTTGATCCTGTTTACGATCGTTGTGATTCGTCTGTCCTAATATATCACTACTGAAGATGTAGCGTCCATCATCAAGGCGTACTTAAAAACATCCCTTCTTATTTAATTTCTATTCATAATTCTTGCAGGATTCCTAAGCACAGGTGATGAGGTAGTCCCCGGCAATGCAGGACTTAAAGACCAATCGATGGCCTTGCTCTGGACACGGGACAATATCGTCATGTTTGGAGGCAATCCTGATAACGTCACCCTCATGGGCTGTTCCGCTGGAGCCGTCAGTGTGCATTACCATTATTTGTCACC